TCTAGACAAAATGACCTAAACCCCGGGGGTCTAGAATAAATGACCTAAACCCTGGGGTCTAGTTTAAGTTTTCTCTTTTTTTTTTTTTTTTTTTTTTTGTTGCCGATCTTTAGTCACATGACTGGACACGGCTTTAGACGATCCCCCCTCTGGTTAAATGTAGTTATTTAATAAGTTAATAATAAAATAATAAAATATTAATGAGGAAAATCACAGGTAATAACGGAAGGGTTATATCAGGAATTAAAGAAAAGAGATTTAAATAAATTTAGAATAAGATTTAGTTAACATCAAAGATTTTTTGGTATGTAAGGACATGTGTAAAATATTTATTATTACTAATCTTTTTTAGTTATGCCTGAAACATTTGGAGGGTTACAGAACAGAATTAGTCTTAACGTTAGTCTGTTAACTGTAACTAGTTACACTAGTTAAATGATATCTAGAGTTTAAATTATATATAACCGTCCATTCAGGTGATTTCATTATTGAACCAAACGAGAGATTATACTGGGAAAATGTTTTGATAATCTTTTCTTAGGGATTAAAAGTAATGTGAAATTATGCAACATCTTCGAAAAGAATTTTACAAAGCTTTACATTGTTGATGTATTTTGGATTTTCTTAATGCATTATTCCCACTTTCGCTTTTGTGATATAAATTAACCATTTTGACTTTGCAGCATCTTGCAGCTTATTACGTATCATTTATGTTATAATAATTAATAATAATAATAATTATAATAATTATAATAATTAATAATAATTATAATAATTAATAATAATTATAATAATTATAATAATTATGATAATTATGCAATAAAAAGTCATAATTATTAAAAGTGGTAAAATTCGGAGAAACAAGTGTATAATGTGTATAATGCATCCTGCATGTGAATAAATAAGTAAGATATAAAATATAAAAACATTTCATTTATTTTTTATTATACTTTCTTCTCTTTCATTAAAAAAAAATAGACTACAAAAAAAAAATTTTTTAATTTATTTCTTGGAAATTTTAATAATTATTATGGGTTCATGCACTTCAAAACCTAGTCAGAGGTCCGAACAATTCGGAATGTTAAAGGAGCGTGGTGATTTCTTGGGTGCTGACTTGAGAGCTATGTTTAATAACCCAGTGTATAGTGACATTATAATTACTTGTAAAGATGGTAGAATTGTTTATGGAAGCAAATTACTTTTGGCAGCTCGTTCTGACGTGTTTAGTCGTATCTTTTTAAATCCATCTGTCACAAATAATGAAGGAGAGATAATAAATAATAGCATTTCTTTTCTCGAATTTACTTCTTCAACTTTATTAATAATTCTCGAATATTTATATCTTGGATATATTACGCACGATACATTATCACTTGGTAATGTGGTAGAGGCATATTTATGTTCGGAATATTTCATGATTCCAAAATTAGAAGAAATTATAATATCATTCTTGGACAATGCACTTAAATGTAGTGCTGATAGTAATCTCGCAGCGAAACTTTTATCACAAGCTATAGAATTTATGTTGCCCTCATCAGATGATATATTCTTTAGAACTTTATATAATTGTTTAGTAATAACACCTTTAGATACCATAGAGTATGAAATATTAAATGAAGAAGTATTGAAATTTATATTATCACCAATTCATAAAGATGAAAATGAAAACATAGAATTTATAACAACAGAATATGGAGTATTTAGATATTTATTATTATGGTCTGTACATAAAATTTCTCCTGATTTATTACCATCTTTTGAACTTTTATTACCATCAACAGATATAGCGGAACATCTTGATTCACAACAATTAATTCAATTACGTAAATTACAAGAAAAATTTAACAAAAATCCTAATAATTCGGAAGTTAAACAATCTATTCTTTTAATATTATCACCACTTTGGGATTATATTGATTTCAAGTTGATACATCCTTCAATTTTAGCAAATATTGTAAGTCCTTTAAATATTATTCCTTCAGATATATTGGGAAATGCATTTAAATGGCATGCTCAATTACCAGCAGGGAATAGACCTAAAAGAAATAGAGGAATCGTTACTGCAAAACCAGGAAATTTAAAATTACATTGGGATAGAAAAGCTCATGGTAAAAAGATGGTATTACTAGATCATGGAGCAGTTATTAAAAGTCAATCAAGGAAATTTGAATTTGCTAGAACATCTTTACCAATTCGAGGATATGAAATTTATGAATGGGATTTCATAATCGAAGAACCATGTAAACATATGTGGATTGGAGTGTGTAGTGTAAAAAATCGTAAAGTAAATTATTCAACTTGGTTAGGAGGAGAAGAATATGGATGGGTACTTGGATCAAATGGATATTTAGCACATTGTAAAGGTGTTGGAGGAAAAGGAGAAGGAGGAAGAAAAGGGAAAAATATTCTTAAAGAAAATTCCAAGAAACATTTGGTTAATTATGGAGTTAGATTTACTAAAGGAACTAAGATAACAGTTCACTTGAATATGGAAAATAGAACATTATCATATTCTGTTAATGGAATAAATTTTGGGGAAGCATTTAGAGATTTACCAAATGAAGTTTATCCAGCAGTTTCCATAAAAAGTCCAGGTAAAATTAGAATCCAACCTCATACATTTTCAATAAACAGTTATCAAGACAACAATAATGAATTGAGTTTATCTACTTCTCCTCTCAATTCACTTGATAATTATTCTTCCATTTCTCCTATTAAATCTGAGTCACAAAATATGTCAAGCGAATTATAGAAATTTATTTATTTATTTTTAGAATACTTCAAAATAAAATACTGCACAGACACTTTAATAAATCTTTTTAACAAACACTTTTTTTTATGCCAAAAAAAAAAAAAAAAATTTTTTTATTTATTGTAGATTTTTTGTCCTTTTTTTTTTTTTTGTATTTATATAGATCAATGTTACGTATAAAATTTCAAAATTCCTTTAAATATTTAAAATATGTAAATTATTTGCACAAGGCAAAGATGCCATATTTTTATTTCATAAGAATCGTAAGGTTTTTTAAATTAAGAATCATATAAGAATTAAAAATATGAAAAGATGATTATCCTTTTTCAGTTGACATTTTAATTTTATACTTGGCTAGTGTTGATAATATTCATGTGAATTTTGGTTATACAAGATGTTACACATTATCGCCGAAACCAATATAAAATAGATGATATTCCTCAAAATTTAAATTTTAAAATTATTTAATTTATTTCCTTGCTTAAAAAATAAAAATAAAGAAATAAATTTTAATTCACACATAAAAAAAAAAGGATGGTTAAAGACGAATCTAATGACTTTGTAATATCTGAGGTGAATTATTTTTGTATGATTGTTATAATTTTTAATGAAATACAATTGTTGTTTTATGATGATAATATTTTTTTTTTTTAGAATTTGGAATATGACTTAATAGTTATCGGAGCAGGAATTGTTGGATGTGCGACTGCATTCACATTTGGAAAACAAGGAAGAAAAGTTTTACTTATTGGTAAGAATACAAATTCACAAGAGAATAATATAAAAAATTTAGAAAATAACTACCTATAAATTCCCTCCACCCCTGTAATACATTTTATTATCAAAGTTAGGGTTAGGGTTTGTGTTACTTAAAAATCAATTAGAGGTGTTACATTTTATTATCACCACCTTAACACCCAACATTCGATTTTTATTATACAGAATTTTTTTGATGTTAAAATACTATTTGTCACATATTATATATCACCCAGGGAATTTTCCCCCGGTTAAAATTAGCAATACTCAAAAATTTATATCATATTTTCTTTATTGATTAAATATTATTGAAAATAGAAAGAGATATGAGTGAACCTGATCGCATTGTTGGAGAATTACTTCAACCTGGTGGTGTTGCTGCCTTGGAAAAACTTGGATTGAAAGGTTATTAAAATTAATTAATAAAATTATTATTATAAATTAATCAAATTAATTAAAATTTTTTAAAATAATAAAATAATAATTAAAATTATAAATTTATAGATTGCTTGGAGAATATTGATTCAATTCCTTGTTATGGTTATGGAGTATTTTATAAAAATGAATGTGTACATGTACCTTATCCAAAGATCAAGAACAATATTTCCTATCAAGGTAGAAGCTTTCATCATGGTAGATTTATAATGAATCTTCGAAGAGCTGTATCTAAAGTTTCAAAGTACGTTTTTATATATTTTTCTTATTAGCATATTCCATATAACGTTACTTAATAGTCACTTAATAGTCACAAAAAGTCGCAAAAAAGCCCACATAATAGATGACAAATTGTCAGGGTTGTGAGTAGGGCCGTAAGAGTAATTAATAGTTAATATTATAAATTCATAATTAAATAATTTGAAATTTTAATTCAAAGTGTGACAATTTATGAAGCTACCGCAGGTGAAATAATTCGATGTTCAGAAACTGATCGTGTGTTAGGTGTAATTTGCTCTCCCAGAGGTGAAAAAAAAACTTCCATGAAAGTGAGTAAATTTAATATTTGGAATATATTTTGTAAATATAAAGATGACATGTATTCTTTATAAATTATATATTTATTTTAACTTCCTTCGTAATGAATTATTGTTAACTTCTTTTTTATTTATTGTTAGTTCTTGGCACCTTTGACAATTGTAGCTGATGGATGCTTTTCTAAGTTTAGAAAAAATTTTATTCATAGAGAGATTCAAGTAAAATCTAACTTTGTTGGGTAAATAAATTAATAAGAAAATTTCTAATTAAAAAATAAGGATTCCTATTATTCTTATAATTGTTTTTTTTTTTGCAAAAATATAGGTTCATAATGAAAAATTCAGTATTACCCTATCGAAATCACGGCCTCGTAACAATAGGTAAAATTGCTCCCATATTGATGTATCAGGTTGAGATCATTGTTTATAGTTCATTCTTTTTTATTGCTTTTGTTTTTTATTCAAATTTATTAATTATATAATCTTTTTATAGATCGGAACACATGAAACACGAGTTTTAATTGATATTCCTGGACAACTTCCGAGTAATAGAAATGGAGAATTGAAGGTATGATTAATAAGAATTATTTCAATTATTTCAATAATTTCAATTATAAATTCAATAATTGTCTTTTCGAAATGAATTAATCTTGTAGACGTCAATTGAAAATAATTATTTACCATATATTCCCACAACTTTGCAAGTAAGTATTCAAACTAAAAATAATAAAAAAATATATAACTTATTTTTTTTTAATCTCGCTTTACATATATTTTTGAATTAGAAACCATTTTATGATGCATTACAGACAGAACGTCTTAGATCTATGCCAAATAGTTTCTTGCCACCTTCCACAAACGTTACTGAAGGATTGATCATTTTAGGAGATGCCATGAATATGAGACATCCATTGACAGGAGGTAAGTTATCAACATTATCTACGTTGTCATTTAATTATAATTATCATATTAATAATTATAATAATTATAATAATTTCTTTTCAAAGGTGGAATGACAGTTGGATTTAAGGATGTTTTATTACTTTCTAAACTTTTATCTTACGAACAAGTGCCCGATTTCAATGATACCGGACTTATTTTAGCACAAATGCAAGAATTTCATTGGAAAAGGAAATTCTATGGTACCACTGTAATAAATATTCTTGCTCAAGCTTTACATGCTTTGTTTGCCGCAGATGAGGGTATGTACAAATGAAAGCAAATATTGAGATATGAATTTATGAATGAAGATAATAATATTTTGATTTTTCTTTATATGAATTAAACACATGAACGCGAAAATTCGCGTGATTTATTATTATTATTATTATTATTATTATTAGATGAATATTTAGATATATTACGTGATGCATGTGTTAAATACTTTAAACTTGGTGGTATTTTTACTGATCATCCATGTGGATTACTGGCTGGGTAATTAATTAATTAATTAAATTACAAAAATATAATCAAATTATATTATTGTTTAAATATATTAATATTACAAAAAATTTTTATTTTATTCTTTATTTCAATAATAACTTCTATAATAGAGTATTTCCAAATCCATTCCTATTAATAACACATTTCTTTGCTGTTGCCATCTATGGGATATGGAAATTATTTACAGATGGAACGGTTTCTCAGATTCCTGTAAATATTATTAAAAGTTTTATGGTGATTTATACAGCATGTGTTGTTATTTTTCCTTATTTGTGGTGCGAGGTTAAGTTTTGAGAAATTGTTTGTCGTTCGTTCATTCTTGTTCTTTCTTGTTCTTTCGTATTGATATGATACAACCTTATAATTTTATTATCAAAATACTTATTTATTTTATTATATATATGTTTCTTTATTTTATAACTAAAGTTTTTGTTTTTTTTTTAATGAATATTTTTTCCGTTACTTTATGTTATGATAATATTTATTTTTAATATTAATTGAATATTAATTTAATTATTGTATGTATTGTTGTATTTATTTATCACCGTAATTTAATTATTGTTTAAATTATCATAATAATCAATAAACTACAGATCTTTTAAACATCTTTGAATATAATGCAATAATGATTTAAGTTTCGAGTATTTGAAGTACCTAAAGACTGCTTTAAAATACTGATTGGCATATTATACATATTATAATCATTATCAATTGCACAATTTTCAGCATAGTTTTTTTTTTCTGTAATAAACACAAAAAAAAACCAATTACAAAATGAAAATTCTTCAAAATTTATCAATCTTTTATTATTAATATTTGGAGAATGAAAAAAGTGGGAAAATAATGAAAATAATGGAAGTTTATTTAATGAATTTAACGAATTTTAATGGTATAGGATAATATTTATTCTAAGAATAATTAGCGAAGTGGAATGGATGAAAGGATGATGAGAAATCATTTAAATGATAACGGCATTAATGTATAATGTAAATATTTCTGGAAAAGAAAAATAAATTCTGATACCATTTAAAGAATAATAAAATTTTTTATCATTTTATTTTACTTTTAAGAATACCCACGAGATGTGCATTCTTCCAACACTTAGAGGTGCTAGTTTACTATTAAAATGAATTTAATAAAGATTTTGCATTAGTTTAAACTTTAACATTTAAACCTTTGGCCAGCATGAAAAAAAAAAATAATAATAAGATACTAACGTGAATACGGCTGGAGACAAGTCTAGTGATCCGAAATTGCAACCTGGACATTTATCAGTAATTCTTGCAATAACGGTCTCTTTTCCGCATGTAATTTCTATTAATCTATTACAATTAGGATTCAAATTGGGGTTGCCAGGTCCAAATTGTTCTACATTCTAAGAATTAGAAAAAAAATTATTTATTAATTATTATTAATTATATTTTTGAAAAAAAAAAGATGAGTTAAGAAAATGTTTACGTACAAGTGCAACAATCATATCATGTTCAGAATTGTAAAAACCACAAGCACCTAATCCTGGACTATAGAAAGTAGCATCTCCAGAGAATACTGAGTCATCACCACCATCTACTGATGTGGTGGTGTTATTATCAGGAGCAGGTAATGAACCCTGATCGACAGGTAAAGGACTTGATTGAATTGGAGTAATAATAAAGAATAGCAAGATCGCTATCAAAGTCAACAATAATAAAGCAGAACGACGACTTGTTGAAGGATTCATGTTAAAATTCTTGGGTGATATAAAAAAATTATGTAGTAATTGTGGAAATTTGCTATTTAGTAATTATTGTGGAGAGCAAAAATTTTTTTGAAAGGATGAGAGGATGGAGAAAAGGAGAATAAAGGACGAATGAGAGGGTGAAAAGGATTAAAGAAGGGATAAAATTCCTAGTAAACTAGCTATATTCCTTTTAACACGAGGGAAAGGAATATATAGTCGAAATAGTGAAGAAAAGAGAATTAAGGAATCAATTCATTGCTTGGTTGCTTTTATATCGCGTATTTTGACGTGAATCTGTGAAATCGAAACCATATTAATGTACAAGAACGATTAATTAAATTGAATTTGTTTGGCTTGCATTAATAAATAAACAATAAAATTGTTCTGTGAATCCAATTAGATTTGAATTGTTTATTTTCCTGCTTTCCTCCCTGAGTTCGCCCTAAACCAACGAATGTTCTCTAACCCCTAAATTCCTATTTATAATTGCTTTAAATAATTTTTAAATGTTTTATGACTATTTTTACTAGGAACTTTATCGAGAAAGTAGATAAAATTAGATAGATAAAAAATAAACCATTTACAGCGAATACATACGGCGAATACAAATTCAAAAAAAAAGGGATAAAAAATGCCAAAACCAGTAGTAGTAGCATATCGGTAATAATGCATTATGTATTATTCTACCAGTGAAATAAATATTAGCCATAGTGCATACAGATTGCTTCTATCGCTTCTAAATTAACGTATCAAATCATTATATCATTTAAATATCATTTAATATTATTTCATCCCTTTAACGTGAAGCATTAGTAAATGATGAATAGATTATTGGATAAAACGACTTTAAAAATGCAATTTATCTCAATCGGATCGGAAAGAAAAAATATGATTGTTATTATTGGTGGAAGTTAATGCGCTAATTACTTTTTGTAGTTTGCCAACAAAATTATTTTTCTCTCAATTACTTTCTTTCCTATAGCTCTTTTCTTACACCAGTCAACTATTTATCATCAATATTACGTTATAATTTTCATATGAATCGTAAATATTTTAGGGGTGTGCCATGGTATGATCAACAATCTAAACAATCTTTTTAATTTCTTGCTTTTCTAAGAAATGACTTTCTAAATTAGTAAAGACACGTGAGGTACGTTTAATCTAAAATAGTTAAATTTCTAGATAAATTTTTTCATGTGCTTTCTTTAAAATGAAATTGACAAATAAAATTCGTACTAATTACTAATTAATTAATTCAATTTATTTAACTTTTTTAATGTAAATCAGGAAACGCAATCAGTTTCACATAACTTATTACTATCTTTAGATGTGCGTGACTATCTAAATAAGACCTTTATGATATTCTATTTTTAAGAAAATATCATTTCTTTAACCATAATAATAAACAAAATTATCGATCAGTTAAATCTCATCAAATAATTATCCTCGACATTTTTGAAAGAATAAATTTATTTATACTGTTCTTGAGCAATATTTGGTTTTAGAAGATAAATATATAAAAAGTGTCAATATCTTTTGATACTTAATACTTTTTGGATAGTAAAGAAAATTAAAAAGATAATTTATTGTTTTATTATTAATCAATTACATTTTGTTTATTTAAACTATGTATTATTTGTATTTTTTTTTGTTAATATTTATTTATTATTAGTTATTAATCATATATGAAAAAAGTGATAAGCAAGTATTTAATTATTTATTGTTTTTTTAAAATCTAAAATGGATAAGGTGGACTTTATTATAAAAGTAGATCGTAACCAAAGTTAAATGATAATCAGACTGAATGTAATTGGGCAACATATATTCGAGTAACGTATTAAACCATTGTTAGATACCTCACGAGGTGTATTACAAGAATCTCCAAAAATACTCTTTTTTAAAATAATCAAACGATAAAAATTTCATTTTATTTTTTTTATGATATTTATATTCCTTTGATGACCAAATTAACATCTCAGATGATATCATTTAAACAATTTAAGATAGATGATAGAAGATAGAAGAATAGAAGAATAGAAGATAGAAGATAGAAAAGATATAAGATAATATAGTAATAGAGAAGATATTACATATGTATTATATATTATATTTTATAAAGAAACATATAACTTGAAAAATTCTCTTCTTCTTTATCATATATTGTTTGCAAAGATAATTTTTATTTACTTAAAATTCATTTGCAGTTTATAATTTAGGGGAGAAATATTAAAATAAACTCGTATTTTAGTTATTTCATTGTATCGTTGCAGTAAATTTAAGGGATTTACCAAATGGAGTAATTTTCCGTCCCGGAATACTTTTTACGGTCATTATTACATAATGTTTGAATAATAATGTAAAATTTCAATTATACCATATAATTTTTTTACTATAATGACGATATGAACACAGAATTTTTCCGTCTCCGATTTATTCGTTTCCGAAAAAAAATTCTCCTTTTAATATAAAGATTATTGATAAAATTACTTAAAATAGTTTCATTATGACAAAAGAATTGATTTAAATAACGAAGTTACGTTTTTTATCATTTTTTTTTGTAGACCTGTAAATTCTTTTTCTTTATTATTATCAAATATTCATATATATGTGCGTCAAGTGTGAAGAAGAGAGATGAAATTTGGAAAAACCCTTCAAGCGGAAGCTGTACTCGAATGGACCACACAGTAATTACCTTTCTATATACATACATTTTAGATCTTTGTTTATTATTTTTGAAATTTTTAAAAAAAAAATTTTGTTATTCTCATTTATTGTTGTAAATATTATAAAGATACGTAGATTACAAAGGCTTGAAAGGAAAGTTGAAAGCTGTTAAAAAGTCAAGATATAATGATGAAATTGGGTCATCTTCTGCAACTTTAAGAAATAGCAATGAAATTCAGTCAATCAATACAAAGGAAGATAATGTGCCAAGGCGATTTTCGGCATCTTCCCAATACGCATTGAGTATGGCTGAAAGTACCGGTTCATTTTTCGACAAAGTATCCACGAAACTGGTAGGCTGGAAGAGCAATAGAGCAAGTTTCACTCCTTCAAAACATAGTAAGTAATATTTTTTTTATCTTTATATATTAATTCCTTTTATCTTCAAATCTTTTTAAAATTCTTAATCTTTTTTTTATAGAACCACCACCAACCGTATTAACATCACTTGAACAATTAATTGAACAATCTAATCCCGCCGAACATGCTTTTTTCTCAGCATTAAACCTAGAAATAACTAAAACCACTCTTTTTTATGAATGTTTGTAATTTCTTTAATGTCTATATATTTATATATTTTTACATATTTATATATTTATATATTTTTACATATTTATATATTTTATATATGTTTACAATAGTAAAGGAAAAAGAAGCAATGAACAGACTCGAAAGTATTAAACAACAATATAAAAATTTACCACCAAAATTCACAAAATCGGGAAAAAGATTTACTTCAAATACAGACAATTCGAATATTAACGATAAATCCCATCATAATGAATATAATAATGATAATAATATAATTAAAGGTTCGCCGGGCGAACGGCGTTCAATTTCAAAAGATTTGAAAGTTAAGGACGCAAGAAAAAGAATAAAAAAAGCATTATTCGAATTATACAGAGGTGCAGAATTACTAAGAAATTATCGAAATCTTAATCGTCTAGCATTCATTAAAATTTTAAAAAAATTTGATAAGGTAACAAAATTCTTATCAATTGTGTATACTACTATTCCATTCTCGCGTGCTAAATTTTCACATAAATTATTTCATGTTTTAATAGATTAGAAACTCAAATGCCAGTAAACTATACATGCCCAAAATTAAAAGTCAAATGAAATTAACTAATTTGAATAAAATTATCAGAGAAGCCGAGGTATGAATTTCTCTTGTTATTATTTAATTATTATTAAATATTATTAACTTTAAAATTCTTTTTTAGAATTTTTATTCCAAATATTTTGAAGAAGGTTCACGAAGGCGTGCCGTAAAAAAGCTCCGAACGCCTTATAAAACAAATGAAGTAAGTGAATTAATAATTTATTGCATAATACTTTATTTACTTTATTTTTAATTTATACAATTTGTATTTTCTAAAGACGCATTATTCTTCCGTATGGAGAGTCGGATTATGTTTAGGAATAGCAATCCCTTTATTTTTATATGTAATTTCTCTTGGTAAACATAATAATTCTTTATTTTTATTATTTCTATTATTTTTTTCATTATTTTATAATAATAATAATAATAATAATAATAATATAATTACATAATAACATTATGTGCTTTTATCATTATTCTTTTTATAAACAGCTTTGGCTAAAAGTCAAATAATTTATTTACGATTCGCAAACCTCGTAGACAAATCGAATCCAAGCAATGATACACTTGATTCAATAATAAATCCTAAAAAGCTAGAAAGGATTAAAGATCTTGAATATAATAGGACCAATTTATTAATAATATATTCTGGAATTGGTTTAATAATAAAATTAACACTTCTGACAGGTTTAAATATGTATGTTTGGAGTCAAGCACGCATTAATTATAAACTCATTTTTGGATTTAATCCACGTGATAATCTTGACTATAAACAATATATGGAGGTAAATAATAATATACTTATCCTAAATTATATTTTATTTATTCTATTTATTCTAAATTATTTCTTTTATTCTAGATTCCTTCTTTAATATTTCTAATATTTTGTGTCACGATGTTTTTGAACTTCGAAAATCCAAATCTATTTAAAATTGGCGTGGCCAATTATTCTAGAGTGATGTTGGCTTTGATTATATTTATTATTGTTATGCCTTTTAAAATATTTTATTATAGCGCTAGACGTTGGTTTACTTTGACTACAGTAAGTACCTTTTTTTTGTCATGTTAACAATATAATAATACGATATGAATGTTACAGATAACAAATAAATATCAATTTTTAGTTACGAATTTTTGGAGCTCCATTTACAAGTGTAAAATTTCGTGAATTCTTTATCACCGATGAATTAACCAGTTTATCATATTCTCTCGTGACTTTACTAATTTTAACATGTGATTGTAGCGGTGATGAGAAGAGATGCGATAGTAAGTATTATTTATGTTTATATTATTTACTTCACTTTCGAAATTGAAATCATTAAAAATTAATTAATAATGAAAATTAGCACAAGTGTGCAATAGTCATCTCTCATATTATGCACCATTTCTTGCATCTATTCCTGCTTTATTACGGGCTCTTCAATGTACTAGACGTTTCTATGATACGCATAAAAGCGTTCATTTAACAAATTTTGGTAAATACATGTCAGTCATTAGCTCTATTTGGATGTTGTTTTTATATCGTAGATCAGGTAAATAATTACAATTTTTATTATCTTTTTTTTTTTTTTAATTAAAGTATCTTATTAATTATTAATTATTGACTTATTTACACATATCAGGTAATAAATACAAAACTTTCTGGATCGTTAGTCAATCAATCTACTCATTATATACTTCATACTGGGATGTCTGTATGGATTGGCAATTATTTCAAAAAAATAATTTGAATCCTTTTCTAAGAGAACATTTAGCATTTAAAAAAAAAAGGTTTTATTATTTTGCCATTATATCTAATTGTATTCTTCGATGGAGTTGGACTCTTATTCTTTTTGCGAATAAGAATTCTATTAATATTATTATATTCGTTATAGCTTTTGGAGAAATGTTGAGGTAATAATAATAATAATAATAATGTTGTCTTGGAATAAAATAAAATAATGATAATAGTGCGTCTTGTTAACCATACATTATTTTTATTATTTTCAATTTGTAGACGTTGGCAATGGAATTTCATACGTGTAGAACATGAAGTACGTATTACATAATATATAACGTAATATAAATACGTCACATAAATATTCACGTCACATAAATACTCACACCACATGTACTCGAATTTTTTATAGCATACACTTAATTGTAGAGATTTCCGAGCCATCAACGATATACAATTACCTTTTGGGAGTTCACATCCTTCAGATAAAATAATTGGCAACGATTTGAGCGGAATAATTATAGATGATAGTAATACAGCAACTCCAGTGCGTAAATCATTTAAAACCAATATACAAAATTTCTTTACTCAAATGAGAAGTTCTCGAAATGTCCAAAGTGGATATAGAGATTTTGAAGTTGATCCGTATGAATATGATGAGTATGATGAGTATGATGAGTTTGATTTTGATGATGATGATGATGAAGCAGAAGAATACGCAAAACATAATTATGTGGAAAAATATGTTAACGAATACGATGAAGAAGAAGGCAGTGACGAATATGATTATGAAGAATATGATTATGAAGAAACTGATTATGACGAAAATGATTATGAAGAAAATGATAGAGATGGTGTAAGAGGAATATATGTAATTGGTAACGAAAAATATCCAACCTATCCTCGTATTAATTACGAAAGAAATTTTGCACCATCTTCAAGTCGGAGTGTACCAATGTTTGGAAACAATTAGAAAAAAAAATAACAATATACAGTATATTTACATGTACTATTTTTTTCCACTCTTTTTTTTTTCTGTACATGTATTACCGTATTTTATGTTATTTTTGCATGGACATCATCTTCTCATCATCTTCCTTGTAAACATGATCAATATTTCGTTTTATTTGCATTTTTCTTTTATTATAAATTTTTCCAACTAAATTCATTCCTTAATACAAATATATAATCAAAAGAAAATGTGTATGGATGAATCCTATAAAAGTAAATAATAGGGTTTATTTCAATAAACGATATCTAAATCATTTGATCAAACCACGAAGCTTATAATATATTAAATTTACTATGTTTTTATAGTAATTCACGGTGTAGGAATTTTGAAAAAGCAAATAATATCACGAAAGAAGCCAAGAAAAGAAAAGACCAAAGCTGGGACATAACAATAAATCAGAAGATTATAAATATACAAAAGAGTGGTTAAATGAAAAATGCAACGAAATTTCTGAATTTTTGTATTAATAATATTTTATTAAATAGGTATAACCCTTTTAAAAAAATTTTTTGATTTAGGCAGTAGTGTGGTTGAGGCCGCTTGCTAGAGCTGGTTCTTAGCAGATGGTCAGGCTGTAGTTTAGATTGGCAAAACAATTTAACCTTAGTTTTTATTCTCAATTGTAAATTATTATAATAGATTTAAAACTGTTACTATTTTTTATTAAATGAATAAAGATGAGACCACGGTAGTCTGTTTAAATAAGTCTGTGTATCTTACAAATTCACGAGGATCATTTATCTTTTTCACTATTTTTTAATATATTCAACAACTTAAAAATATTCCATTCTCACGTGTCTATGTAGTCAGTTTTTTGGTGCTTCCAATTTGATACGAAGTTTGATCTTGTCTTGTCATTAAATAATGTCATTAAAATTAACGAATTTTTGAACCAGTAATCTTTTATTTAATATTTATGATACTTTTTGATGAATTCTATTATCTTTATCTAATTAGGCCTTTAAGAGATTAAAAAAGAGTCACCCACTGGATTATGGTAGGGTGATTGCCTGATTCTTAAAGGGACAACTTTTGAGAAATGAAACTATGACCATCCCAGTTAGCACAAATATTATTGGATCACAATTTTAAAAGGTTATGTAATAAGTGAAAATATGACATCAAAAAATTTTGGATAATTAAATTAAAAAAAATGACGTTGAATTCAAAAAAAAAAAAAAAAATCTTTATAAAAATCATCAAAAAATGAATACAGTACTGCAAATCTTCATATATTTTAAGAATTAAAAAATAATGCTTTATAATCGAATGATTCTTTGTTCAAATTCGATTCGTTTACACTTAATTCGTAATTCACAGCAAAATGGATTAAAAATTATTATTATTAATCATGAAGTAAAGCGAGTTAATTCGAATTCTTTGAGGGTAAATTTATCAAGTACAATACGAAAAGTAATACTTTTGACAATGATAATTAAATAACTAATGCTATATTATAATATAATTTTTAAATAATTTTCATTTTAAATAGTTTATTACCTTGGGATACGGAAATAAAGATAATAATCGTCATCATTATTTAAAAAAAGAAGATAATAAATCTGATAACAATGAAAATAATATTATTAATAAAAAGCAACAGGTAGATAAAAATAAGGAAAGTCCATTAATGTCAGAATATCAAGATCATCGTGCAGTTAATCATGAAGCAACTGAAGAATATGTTGATGCAGATTATTGGTGTGAACCTGTTGGAGAAAAAAAAAGAAAAGATTAATTGTTATGTGAAAGAATGAGAATAAAGATTTTTTAATCATAATAATAAAAATAATAAAAATGATTGTTTTTTAATAATATTAAGTCAAAAATCTAAATAAAGAATAAATTTTCCAATTCGGAAAGTTCATGTGATTTTTCCTAATTCACTGTAAAAAAGGATAATCCTTTGTTTTATCACTTCTCACTTCTCCCAAAAATGACCGAAAACGCTATTTTAATAAAACAAGGAGCTGAAGCTGTAATTATTCTGAATAATAATTAATTTATAATTAGTTGATGTAGTTATTATGTAATACTTTTATTAATTTTTAATAATATTTTTTTAAGCGAGTATACACTACACCTTTCTTGACTAAAAAAGCCATTATTAAAGAAAGGTTTGGAAAAGCTTATCGTCATCCTATTCTTGATAAGAAACTTACAGCTAGAAGAATTACTCAGGCAAGTTTTAAATTTTTTAAATTTTTTAAATTTTCTTTAAAAATTATTATTCATATACACAATATATATAATTTATATAATATTAACATATACAAATTTTTATACTAATAAAGGAAGCAAGATCCCTTTTCAAATGTTATAAATCAGGAGTGGATACTCCTGTGTTATATTTTGTGGATATGGAAAATAATAAAATATATATGGAATTTATTGAAGGAAAAGTTGTTAAAGATTTAATATTAGAAAATAAAGAAATTAAGAAAGGTAAATTATATATATCTTTATAGATATATTTAATTGTATTTAATTATATATATATTTTATATAAATATATATATAAATAATGAAATTATTTAAATTATAGACCAATTAGCAGAAAAAATTGGAATAGCAATAGCAAGAATGCATTCAGTTGATGTTATTCATGGAGATTTAACTACTTCAAATCTTTTATTGAGAGATTCTAATAAATCTTTGGTTTGTGATATTTATAATATATTTATAATATTTAATATATATATTTATAATATTTTAATTTAGGTGGTTATTGATTTTGGATTAAGTTATATATCATCATTACCAGAAGATAAAGCTGTGGATTTATATGTATTGGAAAGAGCTTTTTTAAGTACACATCCAAATTTTGAAAATATGGTAAATTAAATATTAATTTTTATTTTTATTTTTTGATTATTTTCTAAATAAATAAATAAATAAATGAATGAATAATAACAGTAATAAATAATTAAATTAGTTTGCAGAAATTTTAGAAGCTTATGCTAAAAATTATAAAGCTTCCAAAGAAATTTTAGCAAAATTTGCAGATGGTAAGATAATAAAATATAATAATACATTGACTTAAATTATTATTATTTTTTCTTTAAAATCGATAATTTATTTATTTTTATATATATAGTTCGTCTACGAGGACGTAAAAGAAATATGGTTGGATAATTTTAATTTATTTTTATTTCATAAATCTATATATATATAAATAAAAAACATATATTATTATAATTATTTTTTTGTACAAATATAATACAATAATATATACTGTTTATATTAAAATAAAATAAAATACAAAATACCAAAATCTTGGTTTAATTCTAACTTTTAATTCTTAAATTTATCACCATCAATGATTTTATATTCAAAGAATTATTTTTATTCACTAACTTTACTTCCCCATAAAAAAATTATCATTATTATTCATAAATCTTTCCAGTTAAAATTTATCTGGTTCTTCTCAATATTTTTTATGTCGATTAATAGCTGAATAATTTATATGAAATTGTGTTCCTTTAGGCCATAAATAATCTTCTATCATTCCAGGTTATTCACTATACTTCCTATATATTAACTACTGGTATTAAACGAGCTACTTCTTTAATAATCGCTTCACAACATTATAATGTTTCAAGATCTTATTTAGTTACTGATCTTTTAAAATTCCTTCAAAAACTTGATTAAATTCTTGAATCATTTTATATTTAATTTCTGGATATTATCTGTACTGGCTATAAATAATAAATTTCCTCGTAATGTCATTTCATTGGTCTTAGATAATGTGTATCAACACGTTTAATAGGATTAATATCTCTTGTAGTATTAGCTATAATTAAAGATGTCAAAATATTTATGAAGTTTTTCTCCTATAGGTGTTCGAGAAATTTCTTATCTAATTTATCAAATAAAAATCTCGATTGGCTATGAATTTTGGTATAAGAAGAAAATATAAAATTCCCAGTAAAAAAGTATGAACGCTTTGAATAAATTTTTCGGAATCTTCTAATAAAGTTGTTGTTGTTGTAGCAATTTTCTTCTCTTTCTTATTATTAATAGAATTAAAATATGCAACTAATGAATAAATATGTTTATTGGTAATTATCATTGATAAATCTTCGCATTCATACTACAATATCCATTTCAGAATATTCTTCATTTTCTCGAAAAAGTTCTTTCCAATAATTTTCCATTTCTTCAAATACTAAATTACACCATACCATTTAATAGTATCTATATAAACTTTTGGTGTCTTAATTGTTTAAGTAAATAATTCTCGATTATAGCTCCAGAATTAATTTGGAAATTTGTGAATAATCCTTTCCCCATAACTTTTAATGTTCCAATTCTTTCCTATAAGGGAATCGATTAAAATTAATGATATTAATTATTGGTATTGTTGGTGCTGCCGCTGCCATAAATTTTCAATCAAATCAGCTCAACATAAAATAATTCTTCAAATATATTTCCATATTCTTTATGTAATTCTCGAGTAAAATAATGATAATAATATTGTGTAGTATAAATAAATTATTGTAACTCGGCATTAAAATATTGAAAAATCCAAATATATAAAATACAGTATACAATGAAAAAATTGAAGCAAAACTTGTAATATGGCTTTTATACTACCAATATCACAGATAAATAACAGATAATCTATTTTGTAAAATAGAATGTATCTGCACGTTTTCATGACAATAATTTAATGAACTAATAATGATTTGTTAATGAAAAAGAAATAGAGAAATAGACTAGTTACTTAACTAGTTTATTTTTTAATTGATAATGAAAAGAATACAATAAAGATATTGTTTTACCAATGAAAAAAACCAACCAAAAATGGTAAAATAAAATGTTAAATTGAATGGTGATAACAGAAGATTAAACTATAATTTGAGACAGGATAAAGAAAAAATAATGAATTTCGAATATTTAAAAATTCTAAATACCAATAATCTAGCTATTTTGAAGTCTCATAATAAGTCTGGATGATCAATCAACTACATAATTGCCCACATAATTAAGGAAAAAAAATTCCCGGACACCATTTAAAGAGGTTACTTTGAGATAGTTCCATTTCCCATTTGTTTGTCGAATTGTCTTTTAAAAGAACTTACACTGCTCAAAATTTTATAAACACTATACCTATCAGGTACCAGATAGGTGTAGTATTTGGGATCGCTCATGGTTTCCGATTAATCATTCGATTTTGAGAAAAATCGGTTTTAAATTAAGTAACGAAAATATTCATAAAATATGCAAACTTAAGTAACTTACTTTATTTGCACTTTCATTATCAAAATGAATATTATAATCTATTTGCTTATTAATATTTATTTAAAAAAAAGATTGGTTCAAAAAAAATTAAATTTCAGCCATTTTTATTAATATACTTGAACGGAAAATACATTTTCCAATAAGTTCGAGACAAAATCTCAAAATTCATTGGAAACCCCTTTTTGCGGTGGGCGATCCCATTTATAAAATTTTGGCCAGTGTTGAAGAAATTAAAGGTAAACTGACAGAGCCTGCCTCTGTGGGCAACTATAATTTCTTTGATCATTCTGCAACTTGATCACTCCAGTAGAAAACACAATCTAGATTTCTTAAAATTTCCAATGTCTGAAATAAGGTAGTGGTTAAACTCTGAGAGGAGATATTTATATTTAAAGCTTGAGACTCTGACATAGATACATTTGGTGGTAGTGGTGATGGTATTAGCAGTGACTTGATAAGATCAGTGTCCTAAGGAAATTCTAGAAGACTGTATTTTCCCTCCCCGTTTTAAAAGTTTGGATGCTTTAAAAGAGAAAACCAAATAGGTTTTAATTAATACTAGCAAATTGAATTTATATATGATCGTATTCAGTGCTATGATTTTGTAGCAGTGATGGTTCATTGCGATAAAATTTTTTTTATTTTAAATGTAAATATTATAGATTAAAAATAAAAAATTTTTTCACAGAATCTATTATAATAATAATATCGCAAGTATTATGACACTGCCAAAGTAGAAATCTATTATCGATTATCTATTACTTTACTATATTATCCCTTAAACGGTAAATCTTGTGAATTGCGGGTGTATTTATTAGTAACTTGTGACGTCACTACCGTTTAAGGGATAAAAAAAAAGTGTAACATGCTACGTTTAGTTTACCCGGTATAAATTAATTACAATTGTGTACCGATTAAATCACATGTCTATTACTGTATGTAATGTATTACTCTAATATTATTTACGAGAAAAAATAAAGCGTAGAGTTAACATCAACAAAATTTAAATTCCGGTTAAAACAACGTTATTGATATGTAAGGTATCACATTATTACAAATAAATTTTATTTTTGCTGGAACAAGTTAATCATTGATGGCAGTGGTGTCTTCAAGGACATAGGCGCAGTAATTCGAAGCGTTTTATTAATTACAAATCTAAGATCATCTAAACTTAATTTCCCAATCATCTGCACAGAAAATGTTTTTCTCTTTCTTATTTCTCCTTTTCAATATGAGAACTACTAAAAAGAAAACAAATCTTCTTCGCTCTTTCACTAGGTAACTGATCCCTGGCTTCTTTATTAACCTCTATCTAGGCAATTTGTTCCTTCTTAACTTGGTTATAGTAAAAATAGAAACGTTGTGATAGGTGTTCTCCAAAATTATAATAATATTGAATCACTTCTGGCTTCGTTTTTTCATTCGGGATTCAGCTCTAGTGATTTCATGATATAAATGCAAAAAAATATAAGTATCTGACATTGGAACGTAATCAAATGCTGATGGATCTTGGCTTGGAGTATTAGTAGTCAATTCTTCTATGAGTTTTATCAGTTTTGGTGATTCATCTCTATTAACCAACTTTTGTTTATGGTGGAATACATATCTTTAGATGTAGATTTTCTGGTGTGTTTATTTGTTATAATCGGTGTTCTAGATATCTCAGATTCTTTATCATGCAAACAATTATCGATGTTCTCTTCTGCAATCGTATCTAGGTCATTTGCCAATGTGTCTGCTTTTTGCTGAGAATAAATTTCACGTGAACTAACAATACTCATCCTATCTTGAGATGAAATACTTCTATATCTTCCAACTCCAATTCGAAAGATTTAAAACAATTATTAGCAGGTCGATTTTCTATATCGTTTATGAGGCTTTTTTTCAAGACAAGCACGATGGAATATATGGTCGTATGGTACATCATCAGATCTTTTTAGTTAAATAATTTTAGATTCTTTTTTTTTTTGAATTTCGACGCGGCCTGCAACACGGTATTGTTCAAATTTATATTGTGTACATCTTACCCTAATTTTTATTAGTCATACATATTTTTTATTTTTTTATTTTTGCATAATTGACACACCGAATTTCTTAAAAAAGTTATAAAGGATCATTGACCTTTTATGAACTCGTAATTTACCATTTTAACCTTTTTTCTCTCTTATTAAAAATAGAAAAAATTATTTTAAAAATTTACGAAATATATTATAATATATATAGTAATCATAATACTGTTATCAAAATGGGTTGCCTTAATACTTCCGTTTTTATTCTCTCAACTATCATTGTTGCTTTGATAACCAATTCGGTTTTTATTATAAATTATAGATTTCCATATTTGGTTAGCAAATTTGTGAAATATTAATTCATAAAAACAATTAAAATTATTATTATCCATTAAAGGAATTAGTCCCAGGCTCGGAATACACTATTGAATGGTTCTGATTCATCTTCAACTGGTACTCTTCGTGCTGAAAAAAATGAAACCGGTGCTGACACTACCATAAGTGATAGTCTAGATATTAGTTCGGGAGAATATTTATGGAATTTATCATTTTGCGTGCGTCGTTGGAGGGTCTACGTATTATTCCGGAAATTTTATTGTCGTCGCTTCTTCTTCTTCTGACTCTGAAACCCCTACTGCAAGTGAAATTCCTACCACTGTTAGATCTAATATCAGTACCAGTAAAGCAAGTTCCACTAATGGTTCTGGTTCTGGTAAAGCTCCATCTCCTACTACTGCTAAAACAACTACAAGTAGTAAGACAACATCTTCGTAAGTTTATACATATCATACTACATTAATTATATTTTATGTTATTAAACATAGTCGTATTTTTATGCATTATTGTACTTATGCTTATATAAACACAAGTATTATCTTGACTTTGGGTTTCGAGAGTGTATTATTAAATTAGTATTTTCACTCTATCATAAAACTGGTCCTAATAGTGTATACTCAACCATAACTTACAATACTATCCAGGTTATACCCTACTGTTACTATTACTGCTACTCCCAAGTTTTTAAAACCATTACTGATTGGGCTTGGAACAGAAGTAGGTATAGTAGTTTTGGTCAGTATTGCGATTTTTGTTTTTTATAAAAGAAGAAATGAGATTCTTTTAATACCTGGCGCTAGAGAGAGAGTGTGAGAAAGAGAGAGATAAATGTTAGAGATCAATTAATAATTTAAATATGCGGAAAAATTAATCGTATTATTATTTGTTGGGCGTTGCTTTGTTTACATGATTTTGACTTAATTTATGATTAAATAGAGGAATATTTTAAAATTCCATTAAAGGTGATATTTATATTGCATTCATTATATAATATCTATAGAAAATATTCATTATATAATATCTATAGAAAATATTCATTATATAATATCTATAGATTTCGTGAATCTGTAATATTATTTTACTAACAATCATTTTTTAAATTAAATATTACATTTTCATTTCTTTCATTTTCTTTTAACTCAATAATTTACAAAAGAAAATGTCTTTAAAGTTTTTTGACAAATTATCTTAAAACTTAATGACAAGGATGATTACAATGTAATCATTGAAGTTGAAAATAAAGAAAAAAAAAGGAAAATCTTTTACTTCACATTCTAGTGTATTTATTGCATTGGAATAACCTAGTCAAGTATTTTTGATATTAATTTTAATTTATCTATAGTAGTATTATCATTTTATAAAATTATTGAGCTAGTGAATTTTGTTGAAGAAAGCTTTTTGGTCAAAACCCATTTTTCTTTAGTCTTCATACTGTTTTTGACAAAGAGAACTTTAAAAAATTTAGAAAAATTTTGTAATGATATGGTTAGTCAAGTATATCTGGATCCTTACATGAGAGCACGTTATTCCAACCAAAAACTAAATATGTTTTGATTGTTTATTTAGTGTCATCTTTATAAAGTCATTTTTCATCAGACGATTCTAATGTTAAATCAATCTTATATCAACTTTTTAAGTTGTTCAATATTTCATTTGTAGAAATAATCTTTTCTTTAAATGCTTACATCATCTGTGAAACAAAAGAAAATTTTGTAATATTATTATTAAAAATATTTATTAATCTAATTTTTTGAACTATAAATCCATTCTTATAATACTGCAAACTATGTATAAATAAACTCTCTTTTAATATCTTGTACATTTTTCTTTTTAGATATATGTAACATGTCTATATAGAACTTTAGCAAATTTCATCTATCCTGAATATCTTATAACCTAATTTACATTTTTTTTTTTTTTTTTAGAAATATGTAACAGTATTATAAATTTTTTACTGAATTCCTAGTAAACTTGATTTTTTAGCTACATAAACATTTTTGGTGTTTTTTTTGGTACCTTATTTGAATATCAATTAGCTTTCTATCACTAGCGGAGCATTAGTTATCTATTTAGTTATAGTAGTTCTCACTATGATAAGTATTTCTCACTCTATTTAGAGTGAGAAATACTTATCGTAGTCTAGATTGTGATCCACTTACTTGGTAGTGTAATTTTTATTGGATTTGAAGCTTGTGTAGGTTATTGTTTTCTTGAGGTTTTTGAGTATCCTGGAGCATTTATTGGGATACAATGATTTTATATTTTTTTCCACATTCATTTGTGGAAGAGTTTGTATTTTCTTTCACATTTGAGAAAACTTTAGGTATATTTCATGGCCGATTTCCATTGTCCGATTTAGGTTATTCCCATTCATATTCATATGACAACGGTGTCGTCAGGACACACTAATATGCCTTATTCCGTAATTTTGCCTACTAATTGGTAATATAAAAGTTATCCTTTCTGCCAGACCGAATAACGTTTTAGCGCCAATACACTATGTTAAGAACTTACAATAGTATTGCTGTGTTAGTACGAAATATGCATGTGAAAATCATTTCACGAAATTTTTCTTTTATTGAGTTGAATGGGAATGAATGAATCTGAACTTCAAAAATGACCTCTAGAGAGATTTTTTCGGGCCCCTTAAATTTTCCTGCTAGTAAAAAAGTTGTCCAACATGACGAATTGCCCCCCGTGAAAAATGAATTGTCAGTGACTTTGCGATTGAATCTTCAGAGTCACAATCCAAATTGGATTTCTATCTTTCATAAAGGTATGCATCATAAGATGAATAGTTCAAAAATTGTATTTAAAATATTATCTAAACTGATCTCGAAAAATATAACATACTATATGTATAGGCATAAAAGACACGAGCCGTACTCCAGGTCTTTGGTTAACACCGGAAAACTCACGACCATATGCTAGATTTTCGACGAATGATAATACGGATTATGGACTTGATGCAATCGGCACTGGGCTTGTTCTAAATAAATGGTACCATATGGGCTACACACTTTCGGAACCTCATAAACGTTTGGATTTCTACTTAAACGGAAAATGGGTTGGATTCAAAAGCATTGATAATGTTCAGACGCAACACACTGTGTTTAACGAAGACCCGTTGAGCATCGGTAATTCTCCTACACACCCTGCACACGTAGATTTTAAGGGACAAATGAGGTATGATTAATTATCGTCAATTAAGTTGTTGCAATAAAATACATTGGTTGATAAATAATCGCTTTTTAATAGCAACTTTCGTTATTATAATTGGCGTTTATCTGCTGATGAAATTGCGAAAGATTTTGTAAGATAAATTTCAGAATTTTGCATTCTCTTATTATTATCTTTTTTTATTTAATCACTAATGATAATATAATTTGAACTTTAGGTTGACTCATACCAATGAGACATATTGTCCATTTTACTATTGACATATATTAATATCAAATGTGGCATTTGAACCTTAGTATTTTTGTTTTTGTATTTGAACATCACATAATCGATCATTATTATTTAATATGAATAAAATACTTGTGTTTACCTATCTGACCCATTTCTTTTGCCTATTTTGAGTACCTACATAATATATAACAACATTAAATGCAAAACATGTTCCTCGGTAGTAATATGTGATCACTTTTCTTGATTCACTAAAGTATATCAACTTACCTTGTCCCTAGTTGGCTTTAGCTCGACCCTAGTTGAAATTTTACTGGTGACATTATTAGGGCCGGCTTTTTGACTCTCTAGAGTTGTTCGATTTCTTTCTTCTATCCTTGTCCCTAGTGTCCCTAGTGTCCTTAGGAAAATGAGATTCTAGAAAAAATTCAAATTCATTACCTCATGCTCCTACTGTATATAGTAGATAATACATATATATACCACATGCATATAATAGATAAAAAAATATTTTGCTAGGCCAACTAAGGTCACTAGGGACAACTATCCGAGAAAAGTTCTCGAATCTGAAAAATGCTAAATCGTTGGCCTTACTTCAGCCCCTAGCTAATTTTTTTTCCTAGGGCCAACCTTTTTCTAGGTCAACTTTTTCTAGGAGCACTTTTACATTTTAGTTTCATCAAGGATATGTTCCAAAGATTCTACTGTCAGCCATTCCGTGCCATTTTGGATAATTTATTCCGATAATAAAATGTTTTAACGTGATGTTTTCCAGTATGTAAATTGCACAATCCATATGCCGAAGCAGTAGGTCTACCATATTGTGAGAAGGAAGACGTGACGTCTTTTCCAATGGAGAGCACAATAACAAGGCCGACCACAGATCTTCCCCTCGTTGGAAAGATACTGCCAAAGATGAGTTCCTGTCATTGATTATTATTTTATTGAAACTTACCTGATCTGGTAGTGATATTATCTTAGGTAAAAATATTGAATAATTAATTCAATTTAAACTTTTTCTCAGGGTAATATATTACATTAGTCAAATAACAAAAAAAAAAATCGCTGTACCGAATGGTAATTCCTACATTATAGATCAGCTAAAATCGGAATTCCTATATCATAGACCAGCTAAAATCGACCATCCTATTCTATCCTATATTATAAATCAGCTAAAATCGGAATTCCTATTTGCGCCGCCTATTATTTTGTGTTTCATCTGTGCATCTACCATGAGTACCCAAAGTGAACGCGACACACCTATTGTGCCTTTGATAGATCCAATCAATGTGCCCGTGCCTCTTGCACCAACCAAGATCCCCATTCCTGGTCACTTATACGTCCGAAAATTTTGAGCAAGAGATAGAGACAGAAGGCAACAGGGGCTTCTACCACCGGGGGGCCAAACTCGAGAGTGTGGCCGAATACCTCTATAAAATTCGCGATGATTCTGTATAACTAATAATCCATTAACCATTGAATACTGAAATATCTCATAACACTATTACTTCCTTACCAGTAGAGATATCGCAGTTAAAATTATCTACAAAGAAAAATAGTCGAAAAAAGAAGTTTCTCAAAATGATATTGAAAAATTAATGAACAATTAGTCCTTAAGAAAAGAAATGTTTGGAGAATGGGGTGATATATTGTACAATATTAAAAAAGAAGATGGAATAGCTGGAGGAACCAGTAAGACACTATTGGTTTCATTATGGGGTGCATTATGTGAGCAAAGGAATGGGAGCACATCAACAAATAAAACCTTTTTATTAGCATCATTATGTAAAATAATCTCGGAAATTGTAAAACCGTTAAAAGATCAGGTAACTGGACAATTAAATCTCAAAACAGGTATAGAAATGGAAGAGTTAAAACTTGAGAAACGAGGAATTTGTATGATAAAAAATTGTACAACAGTTACTTGGAAACCACCATATCCTTAAATTCCAAATTTTCTTACAAATAATATTTGAAGAAATACAAAAAGAACAAAACACAAAAAAATGTTTCTAAAAGACTAGATATAAATCTCCCAAATAAAATTATAATAGAAATTTTCCAATATTTGCAACTACAAAATGAAAAATTATGTGTTTGCTATTTCCAGTTTTATATATTATACATGGTGTCAAAACTACTGAATTGAGTCAGACGCAATTAAAAAAATTGAAAAAATTGGAGTTGAGTCAAGCGAAATTTTCATTTTTACATAGTAAATTGGCACAATTATTGAGTCAGATGCAATTAAAAATTGAAAAAATCGTAATTGAGTCAAAGGCTTTTTACTTTTGACAACATGTATATTATATACTAATAAACAATGGAATGAATGTGCATCATATTTATTATGAAGAAGAATATCATTATATAAATATAATATTGAATTAAAAAGAAACCATTACCGAATCTAATAAAATATATAAGACAAATAGAATTCAAAAGAATCGATAAATACTATAATATGAATGAATTTTTATTAGAAGATATTATAAATATATGTCAAGAATAGTAATTTTATCATTTAAGGATTGCGGATGGGATTACTTTACAATAGCTCATTAAAGATGACATTGGATACATGTAAAAATTTGACATATATTTATTTATGGGAGTCATTAAATAGCACCAAAAACAATCTTAAGTATACTGCAAAATGTACTAATATAAAAATCATAAATACAAAATTGTGAATGAATAATAGATCAAATAGCAAACAAATATTTGAAAATTGTAATTAATGAAAAAAATATAAAATAAAAATGAGTTAACAATGATTTAGTAATTTAATTCGTGATTTGCGAGAAACGGAAAGATCTACATTAATAAAATGCGGGGATAAGTATTGTGGCGACATGGAAACGTTCGTGACCACTGAAGGTGGCGAACAGAGGTGATAGTTGCACCGAGTAGATTATGTGCCACCACCTGGGTGAAATACAAGGTGATTATTTATTCACCCTCGCACAACACCTTCAAGTAGCAAAATATGGGTAGCAACCAAGGTAAAGGTAAACAAAAGAAAAATGTATAAAGAATCAAAGTCGAGTAGTGGTAAAAAAGAGGATTCCTTTTAGGTGAAAAATTCATTTTTTTAAAATTTCTTTTATCAACTTTAATAATAATAATTTTGGATTTTTTTTAATATTGGTGACAATAAATAATTTCGAATATTCCTTACTTCTAATAACTTTAAAGACAGATAGTTTCGAGAATTTCTCTATACTAGCTAGTCCTGTAGATAAATAATTCCTAAAAAATAATTTCGTGCAGTAATAGAGATAAGATATGCAAAAGCAGTAATATATCTCTATTGTTATACATTTTTGTAATAATTTTAATAATTTCGTGTATCGGAATAGCAATA